AAAAATATTTCAGAATTGACCTAATGTAGGAATGAAGCACGAAGGGAAGGCAGTCCAGGAAAGGTAGGTGATGGGATCTCTGCCTTCCAGGGGTTCTGGGAGATGCTGCAGCCATGTACTAGGCTAAACTGCCTGGTGACTGAGGGAGTCAGGGGGCTAGTCCATCCTTGGGCATTTCTTCCATACCGTTCAATCCCTTAGCAAGCTTTTCCCCTAATAATTGCATTTGTCAATTCTGTAATTTTCACTTTCTTCTTTTTTTTTAATAGGTTTTTGCTATAGGGCACATGTTCTCTCCAGAGAGATAGAGAGACAGAAAGCCAGAAATCACCCCCTGAGGGGGATGAACACACCGCAATTCCTCTCAGGATTTTCGGCACACATGCACACGGGCCCCACATGAGTTTTAAACCTCCAGGTCTGGGACTCAAACTGCAGTCAACCATGTGGGAGTCCAGCAATGTAAGCATTATGCCATCTGCTGGTCCTTCCATTTACTTCTTTTTTATAACTTCTATCTCTTTGCTGAGATTTTCTGTTTTTATTTGTTTTGAAATAATTCATCATTTCTTGCAAAAGCATTAAAAAAAATTGTTAAAGAGGGACCAGCAGATGACACAGCGGTTACATCACTGACTCCCTCATGGTTGACTGAGGTTTGAGTCCTGGACCTGGAGGCTTGAAATTCACACTAAGTATGTGTGTGTGCATGCCCAAGATCCCAGGAGGAGAATGGAGGAGAAGGGATTGCAGCATGACCATCCCCCTGGGAGGCGATTTCTCACTTTCCCTCTCATTCTCATTCTCTCTCTCTCTCTCTCTCTCTCTCTCTCTCTCACCAGTGAGCGCATGCACCCTAAGACAAAAAAACTCAAAAAAAATTGCTAGAGAATATATGTACTCACTGGAGAGAGAGTCATAGAGAGAGAGTAAGAAAGCACTTCCCATGGGGAATGGCCATGTTGCTATCCCTTCTCGTCTGATCTTTCTCCTTTTGAGATTTTGGGCACACATGCATGCACCCATGTTTTTTCAAGTCACCAGTATGAGACTCAGACCACACAGTCAGCCATGAGGGAGCCAGACCCACTTTAACCACCATGCCATGGGCTGATGTAATAATTTATAATTTCTTATAATGGTTGCTTTAAAATCCTTGCCATATAATTTCTTCATCTGAATAATTTTGGGATTAATATCAGTTGATCATCTTTTCTCATTAAAACTGGGGTTTTCCTAGTTCTTGGGAGGGCAGGTAATTTTCTATGATATCCTGAACATTTTGGGTTCTGTGTTAGGAAATGTCAGGTCCTGTTTCCATCTTTTATTTTAGCAGACAGTCTCGTTGTTTATTCTATACATATTTCTGTGGCCTGAAGTTCCAGTGATAGTTCAGTTGTCAGAGCTCTTGCAATCCTATTCTGGCCTGCTTTGTTCTTTTAGTGCTACCAGGAAAACAAAACCAAAGATCTAACAAAAGAAGGGAAGAGACCAATAGCATTTGTGGTTATAGGTGCAAAAATTCTTAGCAAAATATTAGCAGATGGAATTTACCAATATATAAAAAAGAATGGCATGCCATGATCAAATGGGATTTATTCCATCAAAGGAAGGCTGGTTCAATATTTAAAAATCACCCAATGGAATACACCATGCCCAAAGGCTAAGGAAGAGGGGCTGGACAGTGTGCAGTGGCAAAACACAACACCCCACAAAGCTGACCCATATGGGAGGTTCCAGCTCCACATCTAGAAACCTCCCTGAGCATGCAGGGCATATGCATGCCTATGACCCAGAACTGGTTGAGGCTGAGGTGGGTCACGATGTGAAGACCTTGTTGAGGGTGTTGTCTCTCTGTCTCTGTGTGTGTGTCTCGTTTATTCACATAAGAAATAAATTTTTTCAAAGACTTTTTAGGTTATTAAAAAAAATTGATGGACCAGCAGGGGCCATAAAAGTTAAAGCACTGGATCTCACATGGCCTACTCCATGGATTGAGTCCTGGACCTGGCATCTCGAAAAACACACCAGACACATGTACATGCGTGTCCAAAATCCCAAGAGGAGAATGAAAGAGAAAGGATTGCAGTGTGGCCATTCCCGCTGGGAAGTGATTTCTCACTTTCTCTCTCACTCTCATCTCTCTGTCTCTCTCTGGCAACTGTACACACCTTATAGTGAGAAGAAAGAAAAGAAAGAAGAAAGGAAGGAAGGAAGAGAGGAAGAAAGAAAGAAAGAAAGAGAGAGAGAGAGAAAGAAAGAAAGAGAGAGAGAGAGAGAGAGAGAAAGAAAGAAAGAAAGAAAGAAAGAAAGAAAGAAAGAAAGAAAAAGAGAAAAAGAAAGGAAGGAAGAAAGAAAAAAAAACTGATTGCTACGGGTTTGAGTTGGAGGGAGAAGGAAGCTCTTTCAGGTAGAACTCTAAAATGATGACATGATGAAACTGTTGAATATCCTGATTGTGGTGATGGGAATAAGAAGTTATACATGAAATAACATTTCATCTCAGGAAACCCTTCAATACCTGGCCAACCAGGGCAGGTGGTCACCCCAGCAGAGGCCATTGCAGCCCTTGCTGCTCTGAGGGGGAGTTAGGCTTCACCTGGTAGAAAATCCAGGTTCTCTGGCTGCTTAGGAAGAAGAGCTTGCAGGGCCAGAGCGGACACAGCAGAAACTACTGCAGTGCTGGGCCGAGATATGAGGGTGACCCAATGTGGCTGATGGCCAGATGGTCACCAAACTTTGGTTTCCCCTTCCATGAATGGAAACACACAGGCTGCACTCCAATGTCCAGCCACCCTTGCAGGTGGGGTGGCCATGTGACTGAGCTGTGGGCAGTGGACACGGTGGGCAGCTCTGTCTCCCATCAGCCCTGCCCCTTCTCAGTGAGCTTAAACCATGTACTGAAGAGGATCCAACACAAAGTGGAGGGAAACTGAGTCCCAGCTACCCAGGGAGAAGGATTTGCTAGCGAGGAACACGTACTGTGAGTTCGGTGTGTTTCAGCCATCGTACCTGTCTTCATCTCTGTGACAGAGTCCTTAATCGACACCACTGGGGCACGCAGCTCCTGGCATGCCATCAGCATCACTAGCCTCACTGTCCTCCCTGAGCACCTACATTGGGGTGGGGGAGCCTGACCGGCAGACCGGGTGACCCAGAAAGCCCCCTAGAGCTCAGAGGGTCATCCTCTTCATATCTCTAGGCAGGGACTGGGCCTGAGTACTGGGCCTTAGAACCTGAGAAATAGAAAGTTCTGGAAGGTCACGATTTCTCACAGAACCTAAAATCTCATCTGTGCCATTGAACAAATGGGGACACTGAGCCCAAGAAAGCAGGAAGTACTGAGTCCCATGAGGAACCAGAAGATGAGCGAGTGCGCATTCATTCTTTCTTTCACTCCAAAGTATTTGTTAATCACCCTGTGTGTCGGGCACACGGGGACAGAATAGACGAAGCGGGTCACAAACATGAAGAGCCCAGGGGTGTGGTGCTACGGAGAAGAGAGCAGGCCACGGTGGAGGCCACACTGGGACACGTGGATGCCCATCCTTGCTCTGGCCCTGACTCTCAGGGCTGCCTAATCTCAGCACACACACACACACACACACACACACACACACACACACACCGGTCCTGGGGCCTCTGGGGCCCCATCTGTCATTGGAGCAGTTTTGGTGGGATGGCTCTGGCATGTCACCAAGAATTGCCAAGACCCCTGAGTTCACCTGCCGGTGTCCTAGGGGCCCCACAGAAAGAATGGCCACTCTCCATGTGTCCTCCCCCCACCCCTGCCATACCTTCACGTGTCCCTCATCACACCGGGGCAGGAGACAGCAGCCTGCCTTCCTTTTTCTTTTGGATCAAGCCACACACATGTAGGTTCAAAGGACAGTTGTCAAGGGCACGACCCTCGGGCCTGCAAGGCGCCTTCCCTACTGACGATACTGTGCCCTGAGTAGGGGTGAATAGGCAAGCAGTAAGCCTAGACAGACCACTGGCCTGTGTGGCCTTAGGCAAGTCACTTGGCCTTTCTGAGCTCCCCTCTTTCTCCCCTGAAAAGTGGCGCTAGGCAGAATAGAAGCCCTCTGGGTTGTGTTGAAGATTATATTGTGTGTCAAGCACGTAGCACAATGCCGAACACGTGGGCCTCAGAGAGGGTGGCCACTGTTGTCCTTACTGTTTCAGGCAGGTAGGGTGATAGAAGCTGGGTTGGGATATACCCTTGGGTTGGAGATGGGGTTTGATCCTGAAAGGGTTAAAATGGAACGAGCTACTCCTAGTCCTGCTGATAAGGTTGGAGGAAACACAGTCCAGGACCCCAGCCCTGTCACAAGCAAATTTATGAGGTGCTGGTCACTTTGAGTTTAAGAGAAGGGGCTCGCCCCAGGCTGCGCAGGAAACACTCAGGGTTAGTGGCCAGAAGGGGCTCAGAACCCTCTGGAAAGAAAGAGCAGAGAGAAAAAGAGGCAGAGGGAGCCCCGTTTATGCCCTGCCCTGCAGAAGGAGAGGAGAGGAATGGGGGAGGGGGACAGGGGAAAGTGGGAGCCCGAGGCCAGCCAGGTGGAGACAGAGACAGGCTTAGAACGCAGACGAGAGCCAAGTAATCAGGAACAGACCAGACAGGAGTCGGAGTCGGGGGAGAGGAAGCAGAGGGGATCGCCAGGCAGACAGAAGGACAGAAAAACGGAAGGAGGGGAAGGGTCCTGAGGAAGGAGAAACAGTGACAAGGGGCTGGAAGGCGGGACACAGGCATGGACGGGGCGCCGCTGACAGTGCCTCTGGGTGTCCAGAGTCTGTACCTGTATGTGCCTGTGTGCACACGCATGTGTGCGTGTGTGTGTGTACCTGTCTCTGGCCGGCTGGCCTTGGGTATATGCATGTGCGTGTGCTCTGGGCAGTTCGCCAGACTTGCAGCCTGCGGACAGACAGATCTCTCTGACCCTGCGGGCACGACCGGCACCCCTCCACGGAGCTCGCTGGTCCCGAGCGGGTCCGCGCCCCTCGGATGCGCCCCGCGCGCCCAGAGCAGTCCCCGCCGCGCCGCCGCCGCGCCATCGGGCCACCCAGGAAGCCCCTCGCGGTGCCGCCTGGGTGCCAGCAGCCCCGCACGCCTGCCCGGACCAGGCTGCCCAGATGCGGGCGCCACTCTGCCTGCTGCTGCTCGTCGCCCACGCCGTGGACATGCTCGCCCTGAACCGAAGGAAGAAGCAAGGTACGAGGCGGCTGGCAGGCGGGACAGACCCGGACATCTGGTTACTCCAGAGAGCTGTCAGTGCGGCTCTACAGGCGGGGAAGCTGAGGCCCCAGGGCGCCCGGGATGCGAACCGATGGGCGCGCTGGACCTAGGAGGTTCTCACAGGAGGGAAGGGGCTGACTGGGCTCTCCCTGCAGGCTCCATGCCCACACAGGCCCACGTTGTGGGAGAGAGGAGTACTGCTCTGAGCGGAGAAAGTCGCAAGTGCTGGCCTGGAGGGTGCAGGGACTAGCGGACAGAGTTAATGACTTAAAAGTCTCTGCTGACCCAGGAGGTGACATAAAGGGCCCTTGGCTGGGGGTCCAAATGCCCCAATCCTAGCCCCATCACCCTCCCAACTCATGGTGTCACCTTCCAGATGGCAGTCGTGTTCCCAGGCCCCCTCTAGTGAACTCAGCCAGACCTGGGACCTGAGTTCAAGTTCATTTATCCCAGGAATGACCTAGAAGTTCAGCACCTCTGGGATCCTCAGTTTTTCCATTTTGACATCCTAGGGCCACTGAGATTGGCCAAGGTTCAACAGGTGGGTTGAGGCTGTCCCTGCCCGCTGAAAGTTGGCAGAGCCTGTGCCACCAAAGAGGGTCAGCAAGTCATTCTCCTGCCTGAGCTGGGCAGCCCTTCAGCCTCCAGGTGCCAGTCTCAGAATCAACAGCCAAACGTCAGCCAGTTCAGGCCAAAGGTTTTCTACATGCTATCTCATCCAACCCCAGTAATACAGCCTCATAACATGGGGTCAACCCGTTTTATAAACCTGGGTGCTAAGCCCAGAAGAAGTTAGGTGACTGCCAAGCTGCCCAGAGGGTGAGTGGAGGACCCAGGGTCCTCTCTCTTTCCAGCTCTGGTGTTGGGTCAGAGTGAGGCTACGTAGGAGAGAGTGAGAGAGAGGGGAGATGGCCTGCCCTCTGAGGCTTCCGGCTCATTTCTGTGGAAAGCCCCGTGTGCACGCGGTCACCTTGGAGTGGAGCAGGAAGCCTGGGGAACTGGGAGACAGGATCAGGTGCGGTGGGGAGACTGTGGCCCGATGACTCCTGTGACTGGACAAAGGGACCGAAGGAATGAAAAGGTGAGTGGGCTGCAGGTGAGCTGAGGGAGCTTGGGACCCCATGGGTGCAGTTAAGAGTCAGGTCTAGGGGGCCAACAGTTGGCATATTGGTGCAGCACTGGATTCCCACATGGTCGACCGCAGTTTAAGTCCCGGACCTGGTGGCTTGGAAATCATGTCAGGGGCATGTGCATGTGTGTCCAAAATCCCAGGAGGAGAAGGGATTGCAGCATAACCATTCCCCCTAGAGGGAGAGTTCTCACTTTCCCTCTCACTGTCTCGGTCTGGTGAGCACACGCATCCTATGACAAAAACCTTTAAAAAAAAAAAAAAAGTGTGTTGGTCTCGAGCCCAGCCTACTGGATTCAAATCCTGACTCACATACCCGCTGAGTGACATAGGGAAGTCACTTTGCCCCTCTGATCCTCGCTTTATCCATCTAAGGGTACTTTAGAAGTTCTCTAAAATCCTTCTTAGTTCTAAAAACAACCCAAAAAAGAAAGAAAAAAAGATGTTTTCCTCATTGCCTCATCAGTGAGATGGGAATTATAACTGTAAGTATCCGACTCACAGAACTGGAGGTAGGACTCAGTGAGCTGGTGCGGACAGCGACTGAGTCACTGAGCGCGCAGGCTCCTAGTGGTGCCCGTGGGTGTTAATCACACTCCTTTCCTGCCCGCTGTGTCCCTGGCTACTCACAAGAGCCTAGTGGAGGACAGTGGTGATGCTTATTCCCTGGGTGAGTTAACTGAGATTCAGAGAAGGAAAGTGACTTGTTCAAGGCTGCACAGCAGGTGCATAGCAAAGCAGGCTGGAATCCCATTCCAACTAACATGTCCTGGGACCAGCAGTTAGCGTAATGGCTAAGTCGCTGGACTCCCATGTAATCGACTGTGGTTCAAGTCCTGGACCCGGTGGCTTAAAACTCACGCCGGGTGCATGTGCATGCGTGCCCAAGATCCTGAGAGGAGAATGGAGAAGGGATTGCAGCGTGGTCATCCCCCCTAGGGGTGATTTCTCGCTTTCTGTCTCTCTGTCTCTGTCTGTCTGGCGAGTGCAAGACATAGGTTTTGCCTATGGCAAAAATCTCTAAAAAAGAAAGAAAGAAAGAAAGAAAGAAAGAAAGAAAGAAAGAAAGAAAGAACAAACTAACATGTCCTGAGGTATAAAGAAGAAAGAAAGAAACAAAGAAAGAAAGAAAGAAAGAAAGAAAGAAAGAAAGAAAGAAAGAAAGAAAGAAAGAAAGAAAGAAAGAGAGAGAAAGAAAGAACATGTCCTGAGGACCTGTCTCTTGAGCTGTGTTCATCTTCCCCTCTCAGAGCCTCAGTTTCCCTACCTGCTGAGCTGGTCTAAAAGGTCTCTAACGTTTGCTTAGTTCTAAAAAGTCAGAAAGAAGAAGAAAACAGAAACATGAAAAATTTCACTCAGGACCAGCAGATGACATAATGGTTATGTTGCTGAAATCCCACATAGTCAATCACGGTTCAAGTCCCAAACCCAGTGGTTTGAACTCACGCCAGGCATGTGTGCCCTGGATCCAGAGAGGAGAATGGAGGAGAAGGGATTGTGGCATGGCCATCCCCACTGGGTGTGTGTGTGTGTGTGTGTGTGTGTGTATGTGATTTCTCACTTTCTGTCTCTCTGTCTGTCTCTGTCTTTCCAATGAGCACATGTGCCCTATAGCACAAATCTCTTAAAAAGAAAGAAAGAGAGAGAGAGAGAAAGGAAGGAAGGAAGGAAGGAAGGAAGGAAGGAAGGAAGGAAGGAAGGAAGGAAAGAAGGAAAAAGAAAGAAGGAAAGAAAGAAAGAAAGAAAGAAAGAAAGAAAGAAAGAAAGAAAGAAAGAAAGAAAGAAAGAGAAAGAGAGAGAGAGAGAGAGAGAGAGAAAGAAAGAAAGAAAGAAAGAGAGAGAGAAAGAGAGGGAGAAAAGAGTGAGTTCCTCCCTTCATTCCCAGGTCACCTACACCCACCCCAGAAGTTCAGCGAGGAGGTCGGGCTGGGTGTTCCTCACACTGCCCCTATCGTTGAGGGTCTGCCCCCAGTAGCTGATCGCCTGTATTGGCACACTTGTCCAGCATCTTCAGAAGCAAACTAGGCATTTATTAGTTGAATACAATGGAGTTACCCTTGGGTTTCAATCCACCCCTGAGCCGGTTGTGAGTGGATTTTCCCCTTCCCCCACCTACAGCCTCAGTTTCCCTCTTGGCACTTGGGTGCTCATGGGCACTAGACAAACCCTTCCTTCCTGTAGCATATTCTTCAAGGAAGCCATAGGAGTTCTGGCCAGATGGGTTTGGGAAATGCTGGATTCAGTAGGTTTCTTGATGGCAGGACTTACCGGAGCATGCCAAGGAGGTGGGGATAGAGTCTGACCTTTCCCAAACTTATTACACATCAGAGATCGTTTCTTATAATACATCTACTTGGAAAATTCTACACGAAATTCCTGAGAGTCCTGCTGGCTTTGACCTTCTCGTCTAACTTTAGCAGGAGACTATGCCCCGAAGACACCCGGGCATTGGCAGTGCTTCATTCATTCATTCATTTGTTCATTTAACGAGTGTTACAGGCTGTCTCTGTGCCAGCTTCTGTGTTAAGAACCTTGGAGATGCCACGGTGAGCAGAACTGGGCCTGCCCTGGAGAAGCTGCCAGTGTAGAGGGTTGGCTCTTTCTTGCCCTCCCCCTGCCTCCCCTCCATGTCCCAGGCTGTGACCTTGGGCCCTTGGTCTGGTCTGCAAGGTCAGGAGGGAGAACTTGCTGGGCCTGGCAGCCGCCTAGGTTAAACCACCACCCGGGGGGCCTAGTTCCCACAGACCCATGCTTCTTCAGGCTCCAGTGTCACTGAGTTTTGATGAAACCCAATTTTTCTCTTTCTAAGATCAGAAGGAATGAAAAAAAAAAGGCTCGAGGAAGGTTCATGGGTCTCAAGAGTCTCTTACAAAACAGCATTTGGGTTGATTAAGTGTGAATGAATCAAAACCAGATGGGGATGTTTCTCTTGAAACATGCAGGGGTGTCCTGGTCATGGGAGTCGGGCAGAGTGAGGGGCTCTGCTTTGCACCCCGGCCCCTAATCTGGAGTTTCATTTAGGCAACAGGAAGTGAGACTAAGATTGACTTTCCCCAACATCCACAGCCTGCTGGGAAGGGCCCTACATGTGTGCTTTTAAGTCCTGCTAGACCTAAGGCTAAGGCAGCAAGAGGCTGAGGGAGGAGCTTTGGAATTCCTCTAGTCCCCGGTTCAAATCCTGAGCCTTCTCCTGCCGTAGGTCTCTAATCTGTAGTTTCCTGATCTGTGAAATGCAAGTAATTGTCTCTACCTCTTTAGACAGTTGGGAAGCTTTATAACGATCCCAGAGGGGCCGGGAGGTACACAGTAGGGATTTCAGAAGTATTCAGCCACTCTCCCTTCCCATTTTGCTTTTGAGAGGTTTGTGCTCTAGGGTACCTGTGCTTGCCTGAGAGACAGAGAGCAACTAAGAGACAGAAAGTGATACATCACCCCCCGGGGAGAATGGCCACACCACAATCCCTTCTCCTCCATTCTCCTCAAGATTTTTGGGTCCACACACACACACGCCCAACATGAGTTTCAGCTGCTGGGTCTGGGACTCAAACCATGATGGGCCATGTGGGAGTCCAGCATCTTAACCACCCCATCCTGTTGGCCCCATCCTTCCCATTTTACAGCTGAGTGGGGTGTGCTCCCTTTTGGAGCTTCATAAAATGGTGTGGCAGTGCCCACTGCAGAGTGGAGTGAATGTAGTGCTTCTGTGCAAATCGCAAAGCTGCATGTGGAAGGCCCGGCAGGCAGTCTATCCCCTGTACACGCACAGGGAAGCTGAGGCCTGGGGAGGCAGGTGACTGAAGGTAGGGGCAGAGAGAGATGAGGGCCTGGGTTCTGGTCTACAGGTTGG